GCTGATTTGATGATTTGTAATTAGTATCTTTATAATTTTTTTGCAAACCGTGATACTTTTTCAGGAATTTATTGTTGAGGAGAAATGTAAAAAGAACAGTATTTTTTAAAGAAATGTTTTTTCAATTATAAACTGAACATTATAAATGTCTAAAATGTCGCTTGATCAATTTAATGAATCCTTGATGAATTAAAATACTGATTTCTTTAAAAGAAATCTTACTACCCCAAACTTCTGAACAGTAGTATGTAGTAACATAATATAATAGATAAATACTTAAATCAGTCCTAATTTTACATAATGGCATAATTTGTACAGAATTTTTATTATTTTACATAATGGCATAATTTTTTTCACATAATTAGTTTATTGTCAATGTATGTTATAATGTCTTAAAACAGCAACGGGTTGATTCTCTTTCTAGGGACGTAAATGTGAAAACACTCTTGTACTGTTGTTGTTGTTCATTATATTGATCAATTTCATGCTCCACCATGTGATCAAGATTGTGACATTCCTTTGGTGTCGAGCTACAAGCAACATATACGCAGAGGTCCTCGAGTGAGACTAATTAAAACAATTTCAGGCGACCTTATCTTAAAAACATGCTGAACTTCATCACAATCCAACCATTGAGTTCCAACAAATCACCATTGTGTGACTGAATCACAAGTGCAGCTTTGCTGGGGGCTGAATGTGTGCTTGAAATAATCGAATTAATTCTGTCCCACGAAGAGGAGTTCTGGCTTGTTTGTGTTAGGAAAATGAAATGTTTTTCTTAGAAAAAGAGAACCTTTTATATGTGCAGAGATCGAGACAAATGTCTATGAACACGCCGCATTGACAAACCAAATCTCGTAAATGGCTATTCAAGGGTCCCATGTGACCAAGATCCAGAACGTGTGCTAGTGCTTGAAATCAATCGTGACTCACATATAAGTGGAACACAAAATGTTTTCTTTCTCTTGCTCTTTTAAGCAAAGCAATGGGGTCACAATCATCATACTGTAATTGGAATCAATTCAATGTGGCTCATAACTTATCCTTGTGACAGAGTCTAACAAAGACTGTTGTTGTGATAGAGAAACTTTCAAGATTTGAAACATAACTAATTGTGTAGTGGTTGCTATCTGATCTGGATTATCTTTGATTGGATATCCACTTCAGATAAGTGTCATCGTTCATTCTTTTAAATAATAAATAAACTTTTAAATTCTATTCTGAACATTCATTTGATTTCCAAATTCCCTCACCTTGGAAATGGCCCTTGTTTGTGTCTGCTCTATGTGCACAAGATGCAATTTTAGCACCTGGAAAGCAAAGAATTCAGTTTTATGTTTCACACACAGCACGAATTGATAGTCAATACTCTTAATAGCAAATAAATTGTTTAACCAATGTCTATAAAGTGACCTTGAGAAAGTGAACCACTTTATTTACATGCATTATGAAGTTTATGAATTACAGCTGAAAAGAAAAAGGACTCACACAGATTCTCATGTCTCTTGAGTTCAGTTTGTAGATCAGCAGGACTCATCAGCAGAAGACTCCTCAGCTCACTACTGCCCTCTACTGGCTACAAACAAACATTCATGTAAGAACAATCGTGCATTACATTTGGCATTTCTGTTTAAAAAACACATAAATACACAAAAACAACATTGTGTGCAACCTCAATAAGATGCCTTAAATATAGCTTGCATCACACATCAAAATAAGCTTAGCCTAGTTTATGTCTGTACCACATATTCAGGATTGAGGCACCAAATATAATAATTTAGATGAAGCGTATTAGCCAACCACTAAAGTCTCTCAATGTCTATGGTGGTTCAGACCCTGATCTAGTCTTAGTTTAGTGGTTTAGTTGGCCAATCTATAAACAATCCGCAACAAAATGATAAGTTTTCTTACTATATTGGATCCACATACCACTAATGCTTCCAGCTGTTGCCTGTATTTCATAAGGTCCTTGAATGATTTTTTCACCTTAGACCTGAGGAACAGAATTCTGAAGGGGAAAAGGTATTAAAAAACAAATGAAAGACCAAATCTGAAACCCCTTTAATTTGTTTTAATAAGGTTTCATTTGTTAACACTACATTAACTAACAATGCAAAATACTTATTAAGAATGTACTACTTAATGTTTAATTTCAACATTTAATAACACATTATTAAAATCAAAAGTTTGTTATCTGTTCATATTATTTAATGGGCCTGATCTAATGTGTATTATCAATGAACACTTGTATGTTTTTCTGTTAACAAAGATTAATAAATACTGTAACAAGTGTATTGCTCATTGTTAGTTAATGCATTAATTGACATTAACTAATGGGACCTTATAGCAAAGTGTTACCAATAATTAATACAATATTTATTAATTAGATTTTTTTTTTTTTATTACAACTCAGGCAAGTGCCATGACAAAATATATTACACATATTACATTACATTCTTGCAGAAAATTTCGATAAGGACACTGAATTCCGAATTCATATTCAATATCCTTACTAAGTCTGTGAGAAGACAAGCTGACTAAGAATAAGATATTCATTTATTTTTAATACACATTTAAAAATATTGGAAGACATATTAAAAGGTTGGCAAAACCTTACACAAGGACCGTCGTCCAGTCACACTCAAGATCTCTTCTACATTTTGCACGAGAAGTTCTCTTGGGTTTGACTCCCCAAATGAATACTTTCTTAAATGAATCATAAGCCCGCTCTCTTTATTGATGTTTTTATATATATTTAACTAGCTTCCTCTTAAATGACTGCACTATAAAATTCAAAACTAATGCTTGTCTTGATGGATCACACGGAGCTCTGTGTTAGTATGCGTTGGAAAGGAAATAGGTCTTTTCTTAAACTCTCCTTATCCAACTATTTTTAGTGCTATGTAAATCAACGAGGCTTTTGGCTGGTGATGAAACTCCCTCCATGTCCTGTCATTAAATTCTGATCAGTCATAATGGCTATCAGCCAAGTGGGACAAAGGAAATATCCAGTAATGAGGAGAAATTTCTGTCTGTTCCACTGCTCCAGTTATACCAATGTTAGTAGCTTCATAAAAATAGACTTTAATGGCACTCTGGTTTTTGTAAAATATAATCAAGTAAAACGTTTAATATAGAGTAACTCAACACAAAAGCATTAAAAGTATAGGCCAACTGCTAAGCAATATTAAATATGAAGTATGTCTTTTTATTTGTAATTTATTTTTATTTATTTTTTAATAATCTCAAATATTACAGGAATCATCAACATGTTTAAAAGGACATTTCTGCATCCTTACCTCTCAGCATCTGTCATGGGCTCTTTTGTTTGAGGGGTATTCGTTTTCTTCCCACCTGCTCTGGAATTACCTGCTGATGAAGCACTAAATGTCACCAATTTATCAAATCAGCATGAGCAAAGATATTATTAATGGCTACACAGACAGCTAATCTAAATGCAATATCACTGGATTACAAGAGACCCCTACTGTACAGGATTTAGGCAACAACATGACATGAGCAGGGGGTTGTTTATGGCGATTACCGAAAGCGAAAAGAATACACACACATCTTATTCTGCTCACAATGAAAATAAAAAATAAAAACTCATGGGTCGGGGTGGGGTGGGGGGGTAAAATATGAGTTTTATAGGAGTAAGGGGACACAGTAGCTGGTCTGTGGATTTTATACCTGCAGTTTTTGTCGTGGGACTCATCAATTGGGTTCCAGTCATAGGGGAATAGTCCCTGTTTGGTGCTTGCCTCTTAGCTGGGCTCTAAAATAGATTCATTTGAAGCATTGGTAAATTTTTCTTTATGTTATTGTGCTTTTAATAAATAAGTAACACTTCATTCCTTTACTTCCATAACTTATGATTAATGACATGGTTCGGACGTCACTTTAAAATGAGCTGAAATAATAAACATTAAAAGAATATGAACAAGCCATTTCTGATCTGAAATCCTGGCGTAGAGAAGCCTGGCGTTGTGTTTATTGATTTACTTAACTCACATTTTCTTTGTCTTGTAACTGAAGGGCTCTCTTCACACTGTATGGAAATGTAGAGTTTATTAGGGCAGTCAAAAGTGTAACATCATTATCAGCAGCGTATTTGATTTTTGTAATTAAGGCTTTAACAGTTTTGGGTTTGCTTATTTATGTGGATGATATCCATACCAGAATATACTTCTTTAAGCTAAATATTACTTTATGTATGTATTTACATTCTCACATTATTGCATTGTAACGTTACATTATGTGTTTTTATTCCAATTATACCGGTACACATTCAAGTTTAATAGCTTTATTAGAATATAGTAATTGCTAGATGATATTAAGTGTGACAATTCTTGTACTAGGCTAGCTATATTAGGTTTATCCGTGAATTATGATACTAGAATTGTAAAACCTCAAATCTATTACTTAAATTCGACGTGTGATATTTTCTCATCCCACTCGTTCAAAAACACTTAAGTATTGAATATTTCTCACGTGGAGGACCTTGGACAGGTAAAATGATAGTTATATGGTATTCAATGAAGTATTATAGCGTATTTTGGCAGTAATCTTTAATAGCAGGGTACTTACTCTAATAGCATCTTTTTTCGTAAGGATAACATGAACACAAACATATATCGTTGAAATTATAGTACGTTGAAACAGTGTTAATAATTATGCGAAAAAGTGAGCCACTTGAATAGATAAACTTACGGCATTTTAGATATTTATCTCTTTCTTGCGGTGGAGTTGACAGGCGTTTTTATTTATAGTTTGTAGTTTGGCGCGGTGCGGCAGTAATTTAGTCCCCCGGAAACACTTATCTGTGATTCTTCATGCTTGTTAAAGTATTTGACAGTGTTTAACTCCATTTACTAGAGAAATTCCACACAGCATGGGTTAAAATATTGTTAGAGTATCAATGGTGCTGGCTGACAAGATTATATCACACACATATCTAATGAATAAATATTGTGTGAGGAGCATTGAGGGCAGTTGTTTCTCGTGATCGCATTTTAACTGCGCACCGGGTTTGTTTACACGCGGCAGCCATGGCAATCAGACTCGGTAGTGAACAACACCGCCAGCGGACTGCTGTTATCACAACATGCTTTGATATTTCGCTTGCATATTGAATATATTTTCATGATGCAGCGCTCAGAGGAAGAGAGGTTTTATATGACGTGCAGGGCTGCTTATCTGTCTGTGTTCAGATCCAGTCTGGTTAATATGACTTCAAAAGATCAGCTGTGCTCCGGTGAGCATAATTCAACTCAACGCGTTTATACCTGCACGTTGATCATAATATAAAAGGCTAAATATGATTGATAATATCAATAAATGGGTAACACTTAATTCATAACTAATCAATCAGCATTCATAATTCAGGAACAACGTGTTATAGATAATGTAAATTCAAAGAATACAGTATAATGAACATGAATGCATTAGTGAAAGTGATATTTCTAAATATTTCAATATATTAATCATATATTAATATTTTCTAATGACTTAGCCGATGTCAGTGTCAAATATTATCAGTAGTCAATGTATGCGATGCGTGTCCATCTATGCTGTTTTGTCTCTCAGTCCTTCAGCAAGCAGGTAGAAATCCATCACAGAAAGCTTTAGACAAATATTGGCCACCAGGAACCAAGAAGCTGCATTTTGATGACTTTTGTGAGATACTTAAGAAGGAAAAAGCAGCAGAACCAGACCAGCTTATGAGAATTTTCAAGAAATTTGATGCAAATTGTGATGGATATATCTCTCACGAAGAGCTCAGCAGAATCCTTACTTCCGTATGTGTTACATTTGTTCCATTCTCTCTTTACAACCATGTTTGCCTGCTGTTATAATCATTTCAGATTTGGATTTTGATATGTTTGTTTTAGTCTGGTGAAAAAATGTTGCCTAAGGAAGTGGATGAAATATTTTCCTTAGCAGATGTCAACAAAGATGGGAAGTTAGACTATGCAGAGGTACAATCTCCAAGCATTTAACAGCAATACACGTTTTGGTTGAAAAAGGGTGGTTTCTAATGTAAACAGACAAATTATAGGTGAGTTGAATTAACCAGGCTGCTGTTTAGTTCTGCAGGCTTCTCGAGTCTACAGTAGAACAGTGTCAGAACGCAGCACTGGAGAAGCTTGAGGCTGATGCCAAACTGAAGAGGCAGAACTTTGGCAACCAGATGGACAACTCCCCACAGAGCCTAGAGTCCCAACCTGAGCTTCCAGCCTCAGAGACACAGCCCAGAACAGAGCCGGAAACCACACAGAGGAAAGGTATGATACAGGGTCTGCACTAGGGTTGCCAACTTCAGAAAAGGAAAATACGGGACAATCGCGATTTATAAGGGACATATGTGCATATGCATACATATATATACACACAGGTGCATCTCAATAAATTAGAATGTCGTGGAAAAGTTCATTTATTTCAGTAATTCAACTCAAATTGTGAAACTCGTTTATTAAATAAATTCAGTGCACACAGACTGAAGTAGTTTAAGTCTTTGGTTCTTTTAATTGTGATGATTTTGGCTCACATTTAACAAAATCCCACCAATTCACTATCTCAACAAATTAGAATATGGTGACATGCCAATCAGCTAATCAACTCAAAACACCTGCAAAGGTTTCCTGAGCCTTCAAAATGGTCTCTCAGTTTGGTTCACTAGGCTACACAATCATGGGGAAGACTGCTGATCTGACAGTTGTCCAGAAGACAATCATTGACACCCTTCACAAGGAGGGGAAGCCACAAACATTCATTGCCAAAGAAGCTGGCTGTTCACAGAGTGCTGTATCCAAGCATGTTAACAGAAAGTTGAGTGGAAGGAAAAAGTGTGGAAGAAAAAGATGCACAACCAACCGAGAGAACCGCAGCCTTATGAGGATTGTCAAGCAAAATCGATTCAAGAATTTGAGTGAACTTCACAAGGAATGGACTGAGGCTGGGGTCAAGGCATCAAGAGCCACCACACATAGACGTGTCAAGGAATTTGGCTACAGTTGTCGTATGTATCTTGTTAAGCCACTCCTGAACCACAGACAACGTCAGAGGCATCTCTGGACTAAGGAGAAGAAGAACTGGACTCTTGCCCCCAATGTCCTCTGCTGGTGTTGGTCCATTGTGTTTTTTGAAAACAAAACGTCACTGCACCCGTTTACCAAGAAATTTTAGAGCACTTAATGCTTCCTTCTGCTGACCAGCTTTTTGAAGATGCTGATTTCATTTTCCAGCAGGATTTGGCACCTGCCCACAGCACCAAAAGTTGGTTAAATGACCATGGTGTTGGTGTGCTTGACTGGCCAGCAAACTCACCAGACCTGAACCCCATAGAGAATCTATTGGGTATTGTCAAGAGGAAAATGAGAAACAAGAGACCAAAAAATGCAGATGAGCTGAAGGCCACTGTCAAAGAAACCTGGGCTTCCATACCACCTCAGCAGTGCCACAAACTGATCACCTCCATGCCACGCCGAATTGAGGCAGTAATTAAGGCAAAAGGAGCCCCTACCAAGTATTGAGTACATGTACAGTAAATGAACATACTTTCCAGAAGGCCAACAATTCACTAAAAATGTTTTTTTTGTTGGTCTTATGAAGTATTCTAATTTGTTGAGATAGTGAATTGGTGGGTTTTTGTTAAATGTGAGCCAAAATCATCACAATTAAAAGAACCAAAGACTTAAACTACTTCAGTCTGTGCGCATTGAATTTATTTAATACACGAGTTTCACAATTTGAGTTGAATTACTGAAATAAATGAACTTTTCCATGACATTCTAATTTATTGAGATGCACCTGTATATATATATATGTGTATGTATAGGAGCGACCAGCCGGCAGAAGATTTCGCAGCCTTCCTCTACATATACTGCGTGAGGCAGTGGCTGTAATTAAATGATGACAGGTGACAGTGATTGTTCTCAAGTGTCGTGACCAGCACTGCTGCTGTTGCATCAGTCAGTGGTTAGATCAGCGTAGCAGTCAATAAAAGGGACACATCAATTAAGCCCAATATGCGGGACAGTTGGCAACCTTAGTCTGCACAGAAGCACAAAACATAAAAGCACAATGTATTATAGTATAATGTTAGTAACTTATGCAACAGAATGCTTTTACCTTCACTCTCTTTAATTTGGAATGAGGAAATTAGAGTTAAGTTTGGGTTTGGTCTTAAAGGAGTAGTTCACCCAAAATTGTAAATTTACTCACTCTCAGGCCATTCAGGATACAGATGAGTTTGTTTCTTCATCAGAACAAATTTGGAGAAATTTAGCATTACATGATCACTTGCTGACAAATGGATCCTCTGCAGTGAATGGTTGCTATCAGAATGAGAGTCCAAACAGGTGATAAAAGCATCACAATAATACACATAACTCCAGTCTATCAGTTAAAGGCTTGTGAAGTGAAAGGCTGCATGTTTGTAATAAACAAATCCATCTATAAGGCCTTTTAACTTTAAACCATCACTTCTGGACAATACGAGTCCGTAATAATGTGATGGAATGCTTAATTTCTAGAAATAATTTCCGATAAAGAAACAAACTTATCTATGTCTTGGATGGCCTGAGGCTGGGTATATTTTTGGCATTTTTCTTTTTCTTTCTTATTTTGTTTGATGAACTATTTCTTTAAAATGTGACAGTATTGGTTGGGTCGGGTTCAGCCAGCTCTGCTTCACAGGCAAATAATGTACACAAAAGCAAACAAACACACAATTCTGTTTCCATTCCTCACACTGCAGTCTATTATATAGTAACTAATGATTAAGCTATTGATCTCCCCTCATGTGTGATGAAAAATCATTTGGATTTGTGCCATAATGTGAACTCAATAGAGGGTTTGTATAGGGAGGAGCTTTTAAAACCTTTTGATTAAGGCAGCCATTTGTCATTATTATGAGTACATGCAGGACTAGTGGAGATTTTCTTTTGCTTTGTGGTGTTCAACTTTAAACATTGTTTTTAAATGTGCAGTTTTTTTCTTTATCTACATTGTTCATTTTCTTTTTTGGATCGCTTAGTGATGCAGCTGTTGTAATGAAGATCCACATTAAAATAGTTTTAGCTTATAGTTTCTATTTTTGCATATGACAGACAGTCGCTCATCATCCAGACCATCATCAGCTCGCAGTCGTCGGTCATCTTTATCCACGGCCATCACCATGGGCGCTGGTAGCACTAAGAGTGGCAGACTGGCAGAGCCCAAATCTCTACAGGTACCAGCTGCATTGTGGGAGTGCCGGTGTCTTTTGGAAACTATCTCTCTATATAGCTCTTGAGAATAGAGATTAAGGTTGGGATAAGATTACACAATAAAAATATAATTAAAACATGTTTAATATTAAAGGGTTAGTTCACCCAGGAATGAAAATTAGCCTGTGTTTTACTCACCCTCAAAGCATTCTAGGTGTATGTGACGTTCTTCTTTCAGACGAATCCAATCGGAGTTATATTAAAAATTGTCCTGGCCCCTCCAAGCCTTTCAATGGGGGGGGTAAGCGGGTGTTGGTTATCAACAGTTCAGAAGACGTGAAATAAAGTGCGCGCATCCATAATAAAACGTCCCTCACACCGCTGGGGAGGGGCCGGGACAATTTTTAATATAACTCCGATTGGATTCGTCTGAAAGAAGAAAGTCACATACACCTAGGATGCTTTTATGGTGAGTAAAACACAGGCTAATTAAAATTTTTGGGTGAATTAACCCTTTAAACAACTACAAATGAGTCAAAGTTCGCATTATAGGCTAATTTCCGTCTGTTGTCCCTGGCCTATTCCTAAAAAGTCAACCTAAAATTTCTAAAACAAATTAAAAAAAATGTAATATATTTAAATAAATACATACATGCATACATAAATAAAGGCTGAGTAATTATGGAATGAGCTATTTGGGAATAAATTGTTACAAACAATCTTGGAACTTCCATTTTGCCTACATACTAAACTTTATCTAAACTGAAGTGCCTTAAGGGCAGCTATACATTTGCTGTGTTTTTGTAGTATCAAAGCCTTTTGGTTGCAAATTTTCACCTGGTCGATATGAGTGCAGCTCTGCTATTGATCTCCTTCCCTTTGTTTGCACTCTTTTTGACTTTAACCTCAGCTGGTTTGCTTTGTCACAGAAAAATAATGACCAAACTCGTCAAAGCAAAGAGATTGGAAAAAAAACTAGATGCTCCTGGGTGAAGAAAGTTCTATCGCCTCAGTTCCAGCATGTTGTATTACCTGAGCCAGGAGCTTGATAATTGGGCGTAGGGATTGGAAAGGGTCAGGTTGTGTGTTTTATGGTGGCTTGCGGTCTGTGTGCGAGACTTTAAATTACAAAGGTTTCTGGGAGGTGACAGGGCAGTGTATTAGTCCAGCCGAGTGACCCATCTCCTTGGGACACTACATCAGGGCCTTTTAAAGTAGACACTTGCCTCGGGCGCTTTTCTTCATTTTGATTCGGGGTGGACAAACCACCCAAGTGTTATGATTTGATCCTTAACACGTTTCACAACCCAGCATAAATTCTGGGAGGAAATTGCTTTTGTTGAAGAAGTGTCATTTCAGGAACATGTTTTTAGCACTCGGAAAAGAAGCATAAACCCATTCTAAACATTAAAAGGTCTCTGTGGCACCTGAGGACAAGGTTTATTTCCCAAAACTACTCTCTGATGGGTCAGAAAGGAGGCTGTTTGACTCAGATTTTTTGATTACTTGATGATTTAGAGTATATTTGCTATAACATTTTAGCTGGACCTAAACAACCGCAGTTAAAAGAGCAAAAAGGCTTTGTTTAGACAAGAATTTATGGGTTTCCTCAGGCCTTTTTACTTTTAATTACATTATTAATGCGTATAATATGAATTTCAATGGTCTGTATTGAAATTTAGGCTTATTCACTTATCATTTACACACAAAAATAAATATTTGACTGTTTTGTTCCACCCAGGTCTTTGATTGCCTTTGTTTTAGCAAAGATGTTACAATAGTGGCACCCTGTGGTTGCATCTTCAACTTCCTCCAAGAACATTTCTTGCTGGGATGATACTGCAGTTGTTGTTGTTTTTTTTAAATCCAGCATGGTTTGTGATGTTTCTACTGTGTCGCACCTTTAACACGTATTTCACCAGGATTGGCATCACACTCTTATGAGAGGTTGTTTTTATCTGGAGGAAGATGGAACGATTGTTTCTCTTCAGTATCGCCTGATTATACCAGAGACTATCAGCGTCTACCTGACCATACGTCCCCTCAACCTTAGCCCAATTCCTGGTAAATATATTGTACATGGTGTTAAAGACCAAAGTTACTGAAGTTACAGATTTTGAGTTATTCAAAGTATCCAATTTAGCAGATTAGCGAATTTTGTAGTAGTATTTTTGACTATATGTTTATGCCACAGATAAGCCTTCACCGTGGATGTGTGTGGACTCAGCTCTCTATGTGGTGATGGGGAATGAGACCAAAGAAGATTCAAATTTGGTTTGCTTTACTGAGTTGAGGGATAAGGAGGTTGGTAAATGCATCACTTTCATCTAAATATGATGGTACATATAATGCATCTAAATATGATAGTATATATATTATTGAATTATAATGCCTTCTTGTATGTTGACATATTCTCTTCAGCAATGATATAAGAGTCGTCATCTGACACAAGTGCCTTTTCCGTTTTGATATGGAAATATACTAATTTGATCTTTTTTATATTTATAAATATTATAATATATATTATATAATTATTCTATCAAACAAATAATTTGTGTAAGTGTTAATAAACCATTCCATCTCAAGCTAAGTGAATACATTTTAATGGGTGTGTAGATGTAATTATGACTTCAGAAAGGTACCAGGGTTGATTTTAATGCTGATGCTAAAGTGATAAAAAAAAGAGAAGACTTGTTCTTCCTGAATGTGTTACTTGGGTACACAACTGATAACTATAACTTGTTAATATTACATTATGTCAGCAAACATCGAAAAACAAATGTAAAGAGAATAAAGACAAAAGGCTCTCTCTCTCTCTTTCTCTCTATGACGTGTTTAGAAAAAATGCCTGAATCAACTGTAATATATATATTAACATATAGTAAAAGTCTGCATCAGCTATTCATTGTTGAAGCCTTTTTTTACATTAATTCAATATGAGGGACACAAATGTCATTTTATAGAATAACCTTCCTCATTTTACAAAGAAATATAAATCTATTATATTTATATATGTGTGTGTGTGTGTGTGTGTGTGTGTGTGTAACAGCTACAGAAAAAAAAGCGTATTTATTTATAACCTTGTGCTTATGTAAAGTTGTTTGACATTAAATGGTTTATTCTAACATATTTTTCCACTTCTACAAAATGTAAGTTAAATTATACATTTTGAAAAATAGTTTTTGTCATTAAATCTGAAACTTTTGACATTTTATATATTTTAACTTTTTACATATTTTTGTTATTTTGATAAATGCATGAAAACTGATAGATTCCTTCTTCATTCCTATTTTGTAAAAAAAAAAACATAATGGAAAGTTTGAACTCCGCTCCATCAAATTAGGTAATAATAGGCTTTTGTTTCCCCCTTTTCTTTTCTTTTTTTTGTTTGCAAAGTAGCCGAATGTTTTCCAAATTGCAGGATTGGAAGATGCAATTGAATCATGATTGACTAGTACATTTCTTTGCATGTTGTGATAACAAAGTCTTCTGTAATGTTTCATTTATTTTAAAATAAAAATATTGCTTCCAGATCTTAAACAAGTAATGTCCAATCTAGTCTAATAATATGCATTTCTATAACAGTATTTGGTCTCCTGTAGAGAACTTTGACACAAGGAAAAATGAGTTAACCAGACAAGGCTTCCTGGAGCTCAACCTGATGGAAGCGAATGATCGGGAAGGTGACCCCAGAGATTTGTGGCTCACCCTGGAGGCCATGGGCTACAACCGCAGTTTAGAGATGGTGGAGGTACAAAGGTCTTTGAGATTTACTCATGAGAATGTCTTGTAATTTCCAACTAATATAAACTGAAGACGTTTTTGCCTGGGTTTAGGGAAAATGTCCTTTATTTTTAACTAACTTGTAGCCAGTGTAATCAGAACATGCTGAGCTAATGTGTGTTTACATTTTTCTTTTTTCTCCCAGGCCTGTCCGTTTGTCATTGCAGTCTACTGTGAAGATGTAAAGGCAACTCTTCAGGCAGTTCATTTGGATTCTGGTATCAAGATGTTGAATTCTGCTGTACAGAGGTCTATCACGTCAAAAGCAGAGGCCAGATCTCTCAAGGGTCACGAGAATGTCTTGGTTTATACATACAAAGGAGAGAGCAGGATTTCATCAGTCATTGCCAATAAGGTAGTTTGGTTATTGTTTTATGTCACTTAGCTGGTGTTTTTGTATCCCAAGAAGTCTGAAAATCAATACATGACATTCATCTCTAAGCTAAAAAAGCCAGCTCTTTTAAAAAGTGCCTGTGTAGGCCTCACTTTTGCACTTCTAGTACTTAACATTCACTGGGAATACAACAAAGTAACTGGAATGCTTTATAGAAAGGAACACTGGTCATGAGTAGAATTTCAATGTCCTGAATTGCCATTATATAGTCAAAGTCAGCTGAAAGACCATTTCAACCGATAGAAGGGAATTCGATCTGCTAAGAGGGCTTAGGATTTTGCCATAGTCAGTGGAACTAATTATCTGAAATACACACTAATGTTCGGGGTTGGTAAGATTTGTTTCTTTTTTTATGTTTGTAAATAAAGCCTCTCATGCTCACTAAAGGCTGCATTTATTTGATCAAAAATACAGTAAAAACAGGAATGTTGTGAAATATTGTTACAATTTTTACAATAACTAATCTCTATTTTTATGTATTTTAAAATGTTGTTTATTCCTGTGATGCAAAGCTGAATTTTTAGCAGCCATTACTCCAGCCTTCAGTGCCTCATGATCCTTCAGAAATCATTCTAATATGCTGATTTGCTGCTCAAGAAACATTTATTATTAATATCAATGTTGAAAATGGTTGTGCTGCTTAATATTTATGTGAAAACCGTGATACATTTTTTCAGTATTCTTTGCTGAATACTGACGTTCAAAAGAACAGCATGCATTTGAAATAGAAATATTTTGATCAATTTAATGTATACTTGCTAAATAAAAGTACTTTTTCTTTCAAACATGTTTTTTTAACTCATTCCAAATTTTTGAATGTTAGTGTTCACATTTCCTGTGGCACTGTTGTTAATGTATGATTATAAAACGAAATGTAATGTTTTCTTTTCACCGATTTTCCCTGTTGTTTTCTTGGTACCCATCACTTCCGATGCTGTAGTCCAATCAGAAGGTGACGGTGCACATCAACAATGAACAAAACAAGAACTGTGTGAGCAGCAGGGGCATGAGTGTGTTTGCTGTGGAGGTTCCTGCTAGGACTAAAATGGTGAGATACACTATTTTCACTCACAAATAGAAACTAGTTTATTTTGTAGATGCGGGATGAGGTGCATTTCATGCTCTATTTCCCGTTAGAACTAATAAAAGAACCCAACTAGAGTGAAGCTAGTTCTACATAACAGACACTCATATTTACACTTACAATGAATATCTTTAACAGTTGTGCTCTGTTCAGGTATGTCAGCACGTCATGGCTTTAAATGAACAACAGGAGTGGACTTACAACTGTGTTGAGACCATCATACCAAGTTTGTAAATGTCTCAGTAATGTTTTTACTATGAACTTAACAAATTTAGTATGAGACAACAGTTATATATAGTGCTTGTAAAATAAATAACATAATTTTGTTTGCTACAAGGACCATTGTAAACATGTTTTATAATAGCTTTTTGTTTGTTTGTCTGTTTTTTTTTTTACTGTTTCTGTAAGCATTATTAATGTTATTACAGTTATATTCATGATATTCATATTTTTTTGTAAATAAAGCAATTGTTTTCAATTGTTTTTTTGTGATAACTGTCAGTAAATCGTTTTTTATTTGTTTGTTTATTATTTAAATTAGAACAATGATTTTAAAGGTCACACAATTATTTAATATTCGTTTCTGTGAACAGTTTGATTGGATGAATTTTTTTTTTGCACATTTACCCCAGTCCATAATGGGAAGTAACCAATCACATTACATGTCATGTCAGTTTGGGTTTCCTATGAAACTGTGGCAATTTAACATAAGCAATATAAATACACAAATTTAGTTTTAAGCACTAGTCTGGCATTAAGCTAGTGGGCAAACATACAATCCAAATTTCAGAGTGTTGTACACACAGACCAAAATTTTATTCGCCCTTGACCTTTAGCACCACATGTAGGTTTAAGCTTCTATTTATAACATTCAGTCAATTATTTTGCCCTTTGACTTTCACTACTGTAACTAGAACAAGACACTAAGGTCACATGACATGTGAGGAGTATTTAAACTGCATTCCTTTGCTCTCCATCTCTCTCACCAACAAAGTAAACCTCTTCAAATTTTGTATTCAATATATAGCCTCTGTTTTATTTAGTGTTGTTAGAGCTCAGAGATTTTTGTGTAACAATCTTTTATCCAAAATGTGACACCCCCACATCGGTTTCTCTTGCATTCGAGACACTGTTCCAGCTTGACTTTTAACCACTGATCTATAATAGATATAGATCAGTGCTTTTAACCTGTATTTTTTAAAGAAACCTACAATATCATGACAACATGCGAACCTTGCATCATTGTAAACTTTGTTCTGCTTTGAATGAATTCTGTGTGAAACTTGATGCAATAGATTTTGCAATAGAGCTCCAGCTTTCCCAGCATGTACTTTCAAGGGCCCCTAAATTTTCTCCCACAAGACCATGATCTGCTTAAGTGTACAACTAAAAGCCTTAAATGTTAATATGGAGATAAATATTGAGATTCAGTGCAGACATATCTAATAAAGATGAATCATTTGTTCTAAAACCACTCTGATGTTCAAATATTGTTTGTTTGTGTAGGTTTTCATATGATACAATATTAATTTAGAGCAAAAAACATAGTTTTATGTTTTTCTTGTTTTATACTTTTTTGTACACTAGTATTACAGACGTTATAAATGGCTTAACTGTCTCTTTAAATGTGGGCGTGTCCGTTTAAGTGGTGAAAGGCCAATGTGTGAGCACAGTGACAGCAGAGAAGCTAGAACGTGGTGAACAACTCACTTCCCGCTGGGCACCCGGATAGTGACAGACACTGACCGCTGCTGCAACATGGTGAAAATTACGGTTATTAAGACCAAACCGTACACCGATCAAAAACCCGGAACAAGCGGTTTGAGAAAGAGGGTGACTGTGTTCCAGCAGAACCAGCATTATGCGGAGAATTTTATCCAGAGTATCATTTCCACCATTGACCCTGCTCAGAGGCAGGAGGGCACCCTGGTAGTGGGAGGAGATGGACGGTTCTTCATGAAAGACGCTATTCAGCTGATCATCCAGATTGCTGCAGCTAATGGGGTAATTTTATGCAAAAGTAACATGTAGCAAAAGTTATTTCCTTGAATAGGAAAGGTCATTAACACATACAAGTTCATTGCAAAACAGGTACTTCAATTGCAGTTGTGCTCTGCCATGCATGCTTTCAAAACTCCATGGAATAAACAGCAAGGTCATATTTCTGGAATTTCTTATGCATTTTTTATCATAGTGTTTCCAAGTACATTGCATACACATTTATAAACGTTACATAAAAATTCTCGCCGGGGAATGATCTTGTCCACACTTCTATGTTCAATTCGTGAACGACTCGTTCATTTAAGTCGGATATTTTCAGTGAATCGGTTTGCAACATTGACAAATCTGAGCGATTCGTACGCGAGTCGGGCTGAATCAGTCCGTGCGGTTCACAAGTCATCATTGAACCACCAGAATCCGTGTATCATTCGATCATTCGTTTTTTGATTTAATACTGAAAGTAGAAAAATTAGAAAACGGCTCCTTTTTCGTTTTTTCGTTTTTTTCCAAAAAACGAGAAATAAGAATTCAGCTTAAATTTTCGTTTTTCGTTCATGGGTAGAAAAATGAATAAACAGCTTGAATATTTGATTTCTACATGTGGGCGGGAATTAAACGCCCCTTTCTGCTGATTGGTCAGCCGAAGATCAAACCGTGCCATCATCAGTTTTTCTGCAGCAGAATAATAGTCCTCCGCTGCTGCAGTTGTATGGATTCTTAACGCATTTATTGCAACTACATTTAATCTTTTTTTCATCAAACAAACAAATGAATAGCTCGACACAACTCGTACCGGGGCATTGTCTAGACAGGGTTTTCTTCTGTGTAGATATAAATTCTATTCTTTGCATCAGCTGAGCATCTTTCACAAACATGAACCACAGGGAATACTCGTCTTTTAAAAGGCTTAATTTAGATTATTTTACATTAAATGCATCATATAAGTCACTTTGGAATAAATCACAGTAGGCCTATGTATCATGATAAAAAAAGCGACTTTACAGTCTGGAAATACTTTAGGCTATAGCAATATTAAGGCTATATTATTTCTTGGACCCCCGATCACTTTAAGAACCACTGGTCTACACAGAAGAAAGCCCTGTCTAGACTCTGCCCCTGTACGAGCTATTCATTAGTCTGTTTGATGAGAAAAATATGAAATTGATAAAATGGGTTATTAATCCGTACAACTGCAGCAGCGGAGGACTATTATTCTGCTGCGTGATACTGCAGAAGAACTGATGATGGCACGATTTGATCTTCGGCTGACCAATCAGCAGAAAGGGGCTTTTAATTCCCGCCCACATGTAGAAATCAAATATTCAAGTTGTTTATTCATTTTTCCACCCATGAACGAAAAACGAAAATTTAAGCTGAATTCTCGTTTTTCGTTTTATGGGGAAAAAAAACAAAAAAATGAAAAAGGAGCCATTTTCTAATTTTTCTACTTTCAATATTAAATCAAAAAACGAATGATACACGGATT